TTCTTTTGTTCATCTTCTGGTTCATGTTTGCCTGCCCATGCCCTAGCATCCCTCTCATAGTACTGGACCCAGGTAGCGCTTACCCTAGATAGGAATTTCAATGGCTCTCTATCCAAAGACAACCTTATCTTTGTATAGCTAGTATGAACTTCTTCTTGTAAATACCCTTAAGTTGTTAGCATTAGCCCTCCGCATTCATGTCTATATCTTAATAGCGAACACCCTTGTATTCCTTATTTTAAATTCACTTTAAGTTTGGGGGCATGTTAGAATTTTACATACTAAATGTCCTTAGCCGCATTGAGGACAATGCAACTTTTTAAGTTTGGAGGAGTGAACGGTCCATTCTTACATCTTTATTAGCAATTGTATAGAACCATGAATCTTTCTAATCCTGTAATTCAGTAAAAAAAAAAAACTCAATAAAGGTGGGGCTAGTAGCCCACATCAAAAGCATAAAGAGGCTGCAGGATTAGGAAGGGCTAGTAGCCCATGGTTAATAAGCCCAAGTGAGTAGTACAAGGTTTAAAAGTTTAGGCTAGTGAAAAGGGCTTGAGAAATGAATCTCTAGGAGAAGTTAAGGTTGAGGCTGGGAAGTAGAAGGAAGCTAGAGTTGGGCAGATAATAGCGTCTTCCAGAGTGTGAAAAATTCTAGGCTGCTTTCATTTCTTTGCCTCAACTGAAGCACTATAGCAGAATATGTAAGTTCTAGCGTTGATGATCAAGGTAAAGGTTTGAGGCATAGAGCTGGATGTTTGAAGTGCAGGTTTCTAACGTTATTCTTTTATGAAAAGAGGTAAAAATGCATGCTCTTGATTGAGGACAAGCAAGATTTTAAGTTTGGGGGTGTGATAACTCTCCAAAAGAAAGTTATTCTAGTGTTTATTTGGGTGAACATGTGCATTAAAATGTCAAAGTGTGTCGGTTTTAGGTCATAATTAGCATAAATAGTGTTTAATTCCAAACTCATAGCTACACATACTTAGTCTTGAGAACTTTGGCCAAAAACAGCATAAACTCTCATATTTCTGGTTCTTTTGCACAAGTTTTTAATGAGGAGCCGAGAAGAGAAAGAAGTGTGGAACCAGAGAGGAAAAACCAAAGCATTGTCAAGATGGAGCATATAAAAGCTGGAGCATAGCGATATCAGGGCATGGGTGTCCATACAGTTAATTCAAAAACACAGGATTCACTTATGCCGTACAATCCCCAGTCGGGTGCCCTAAAAACGGGACCCGATATTTAAAGGAAAGATTGCCTTAGCCGACGGACACGCAGATCCCAAGGGAGACAAAATTTGAGAGCTGAAAAGACCAAGGGAGGAAATATACCCATTTTTGGGACGAGAGCTGACGCCAGAAAGGGGAAGCTCGTCTGCTGCTTTGCGTTGACTGCTCTTCTTCTCTGTCATTTAGCTAATTTTCTGCTATGGGTTGTATTTCTTCTTCTTCCATTTTGTTTTTTTCACCCATTATGAGCTAAACCCCATTTCGGGGGACGTTCACACGCTGTAACTGACTTAAGACCGAATCTCTAGCATGCTACATTTATTTTTAAGCAAATCTGAATTTATTCCTCAATTCTTCGCGTTACTGTTGGCCGCTCTTTCGTGTATGCTAGCTCCGATATTGACCCGGAAGGGCTTGTGGGTGCTGATTTGTTTTGCTTGTGATTAGCACTTTTCTATAGCTATAGGGATACTCAGGAATGGGGTCCCCTAATCATGCCTATAGTTTGGATTTATTGCTTGGGTATTTAGCAACGGAAGTTGTATTTACTCATGTTTGGGGTGTCTCGGAAGGGAACCGAGTCGAACTGGGCACTAATAAATGTTAGCTACGCTAGAGTATAGGTTGATAATGTGTTAAAGTATACTGAATCTCCCCCACCACCTTCATATCTTTTAATCCCCCATTATCACTTCCTATGCTGCTATTTCCTTGCGTCGATAGCCTTGAAACTGTTGTCTCTTAGCTTGCAACGTTCTTTCGTCCTGTTATTCCTTTGTTTTAATTCTTCTAGATAATATTCATACTCTACTCTGTATATTTTTTAATTGTTGGTGTCGCAACGTCATCGCGATGCGGAGCGGCCGACGTCATCCCCTGAAGGGTCTCTTTCGAGATAAGGGTTTGGAGTCGCCAACAATCATCTACGAGGTGTGATTAGTCACCTAAAAATAAAGACAAGATCTGCGAAAACAGATTGTTGGTTCGGGAGTCGACATGAGTGTTGACACTAAAACATCACACCAATGTGCCACCACTTTGAGATATAAGTTATGATCTTTTTTAAAATACATATTTTGTATTTTTGAATTTAAAAAAAAAAGAAAAAAAACTCTAAATAAAATCTTTTATTTAAAATAATTATTTAGTAAAAACAACGATAAAATGAAGCATTTAAAGACTCGAACTTGGGTCATGTGCATTAAAAAACAAATATCTTACCACTATGCCAACATCTTAAGATGTAAACATTATATCCTTTCACACAAAAAAAAGTTTTAATTTATTTTTTTAAACTAAAAAAAACTACGAATTTTGTTAAATTAAAACAAAAAAAATATTTCAAAATTAACAAAATTATTTAAAAGAAAGAAAAAAAAAACTTTATTTAAAAACAAAGTCAAATTCACTTTAACAAAACTTATTTGCTAAAAAACAGATTTTTTTGTTAAGATTTTTTCAAAACCATAACAACCAAACCATTAAAAGAATTTTAAATGAGATTTTATTCTAAAATACTCTGTTTTTATCTTCTCCTTTAAAATCCTGCCGCAGAAGATTTTTTTTAATTAAAAAATAAAACAAAGGTAACACAAAAAATATAAACCTTGTAAAAAAAATCATTTTAAATAAAAAACTACATTTTAAATAAAAAAAGAATCCAAATTTAAAAGAATCCAAAATTTTTTAAACAAGATTTGTTTTATAAAACTCCTATTTTTTTCAACGTATTTTAACCAAAATTTTAAAGTAAAATATTTTATTAAAATAAAATTAAGTTTATATTTATTTCATTTAAAAAACTCTTCTTTATTAGAAAAAGAAAAGCTTTTATTTTAAAACAAATTTTAAAATATCAAAATCCTTATTTTATTTTAAAAAACTTATTTAAAATTAATTTAGAAGATTTTTTTTTTACTAAAAACATTTTCTTTTAAAAAAAAGTAGAAAAAGAAACTTTTTCTTTAAAAAAACTTTTCCTTAAAAAAAACAAAAAAAATCTTTTGATAGAAACAAAAGATTATGTTTGCATGATTTCCAAAGCCTTTCCCTTTACAACGTATTTGATGCTTACTTAAAATGCACTACCGGCGAGGAGATCGTCGGAGTGCCGGCTTGGAAGAAGCTGTGAAGAAGAAGGTTGTTGCTGCTGTCGTTCGCGTCGTTCCCTTGTGTCGTCGGAGGTCGTGGGTATGCAAGAGAAAAGTGGTGATGGTGGGATAAGAGAGATGGAGAGAAGAAGATATGATGATGAGGTGATGGGTTAAAAAAAACAACGGTGATATATGCTAAAAAAAGAAAGCCCAGAGAAAAGGGAGGAAGGAAGGGGAGGAGGAGATACCACGTTAGGTTTTGAAAAAATCAAAGAGGAAAAACCGTTAAAAATCAAAGGTTTTAAAATAAAATCTTTATTTCATTAAAACAAAATCTTTTTAAAACAAATCATTTTTATTTATTTATTTATTATTTTAATAATAAAACAAAATCTAAATAAACCATTTTTATTTTCTTATTAATAAAATTAAACATTTAAATAAATCTAACATTTTAATTTTAGTTAATTTAAACTTTATATTAAAACTAATAATAAAGTAAACGTATGTTATTCTTTAATTAAAATAAAACACAATAAAGTAAAATACAATAATATAAAAAAAAATAAAAATAAGCCGGACCAAATAGATCTCCTTTGACTATTCGTGTATACTTGTCCACATTGTCGACATAGTTGTGTGACGCAACAAACTCCTATAAAAAATCTATTGGTTTGTTATTGAGAAGGAAATTTTAGAATTTCAA